AACGTGTTATAAAATAAAGACAGTAAAGTAAAGACAAGTATAGAGAGAAACTGATATATTATTCAAACTTCAAACTTCAAACTTATGTACATAATGAACTGAAAACTCCTCTATTTATAGAAGAAAGGAAGTAGCTGCGAGGCTTTTCAGGAAGCAGCTGCAAGGCTTTTCTTTAGCTGCTTGTAAGCTGTCTGCATGAGCTGTTTGCAACCTGCCTGTTTAATAAGAAGCTGCTGCAAATCATTTCATGAGCTGCTTGTAACCTGCCTGCATCAGCTGCTTGTAGATAAACTTCAACAGAGTACTAAATGGATAATCTTCTTTAGAAAGATTATCTATAGCGGAGTAATAAATGGACATCCACAATATAATTATTTTCATAACAGAGTTATTATACTCCTATTATAAGATTATAAGATGATTAAATTAAATACAAAAAATTAAAAATTCCTGATACACGTGGTAAGATGTAACGATTGAAGACCAAGAAAATAATAGACACGTGGCAGAAAAAGAGTGAGACCACGCCAGCAAGCACTCAATGGTCTACGGAAGGTCTAATTTAAAGGCCGAAATTCCAGAAACTTCGAGGCTACTCCTGGCTGTTAATGGCGGAAGCATCTAGCGGTCGAACTAACGCCACGTGTACATAAATCCACATAAGCATCCGACGTGGCATCCCTATTGGCTCCGAAATTGATTCTCCTTCTCTCTCTAATAAAACTTTAGGGCTCCAATATTTTCACAATATTTTCGCCAGCCAAATACAACAACAAACAGCGCTCCAAAATTCTCTTTTAACTGAAGAACGAAAAGAGAGAAGAAAAACTATCTTTCTATTTTCAATTTTTTTTTTGTGTAGTTGTGGGAATGAATGGAAGTGAAGGTGAAGGAAGTGTGAAAATGGAAGTAGTAGAAAAGGAGAAAATAGTGTATATGTGGGGATATTTACCAGGAGCTGTACCACAGAGGTCACCTTTGTTGTCTCCAGTTGTTGTTGTGAGGATTCCACAGTCGGGAAATTACTTATGGAAGGATGTTTGTGGTGGTGGTTGTGGATTTGCTATGGCCATTTCAGGTGCTCTCTCTTTTCCTGCATTTCCTGTCCATTTTTGGGTTTTAATACAGCTTTACTGTAGTTTTATGTTTTTGCATTTGCAGCTGAGCATGTGCTTCCGACTTATGTTACACTGTTTAATTTTTAGTCAATTCTAAAACAATAATAATATATTTTTTTTTGTTCTTTTTTGTTTTATAGTTACACAAATATTTATGACTTGTTTTACGCTAAATTTTTAACAAAAATTAAAAACTTTCTGTCAAGTCAAACAGCATCACATAAATTGAGACGGAGTGAGTGGGACATTATAGTTAGAATATGTTTGGGTTAGCTGATTAAAAGTAGTACTCCCTCGTCCCAATTTATGTGACTATGTTAGAGTCAAACAAGTTGTTGTTCTTCGACAATATTTTTTTTATGTCTTTAGATATTTTTAGTTATTACGTGATTTAAACTACTTTTTATGTAGTTTTCAAATGCGTAAGTTTTATTTTGAAAAACTTAAAGATTGTATGTCCATATATAAATCTCGAAAAGTAAAAAATATCACATAAATTGGGATGGAGGGAGTACTTGATAATTATCAAGTGCTGAATAGTGCTTTTAAATGATGAAATGATTTTATAAATAAGTAATTATGTGTTTGAATTGAAGTGTTGAAATTGATAATAAGTAGTTGGTGTGTGTGGCAAATAGCGCTAATAAGCACTTTTTAAATTAAAATGGCTTAAGTGTCTTTGAATTTTTTTCAGAATATTTAATTTAAAAGTATATTTACATTGAAAGGGATGAATGACAAAAATGAAATGTAGAGGGAGTTAGGAGTGTTTTATTTTGGAAAGAGTATTTTGGGGACTACAAAAACTAGTAGGAGTAAAATAGTAAAAAAATTGGGTAAAATCAAAAGTACTTATAAGTTAAAAAGCCGTAAGTTGTAGGTTCCAGATTATGATGTTTGGCTGATTTTGGCTTATAAACACTTGCTTGTAAACAATTTTAGAGTATAAAAAATTAGTAGATAAGTGAAAAAGTACTTGTTGACTTCGGCTTATAGGCTTACTGAAACACCCTCTTAGTCATGGATGTTTTTGAGTAGAAGTAAGTTTTGAAACGGAATCTTGGATCACTTTGTAGGAACTGATGGTTTCAACTCAGAACGTACTGGCTGTCAAACTTTAGTTTTCAGTGAACTTCTGATGCATTACTTCTTGGCAGAACTTAGAATTTCTTCTTTGTGTACATAGTATTAAATCCTAAATTGGATTTCAGATAATCATCTTTGCGGTTTCCGTCTTATATATATCTGCTACTTATCTTACCTAGTTTGCAATTACTATGCTGTTTTATACTACTCTTTATCAGATTCTGGGAAGCTCATTACATGGGGTTCAACGGATGATTTAGGCCAATCCTATGTGACATCAGGGAAACATGGGGTAATTCTTTCACTAACTTCGTTTACTCAGCTTACTGACTACCTAGCGACGTGTCAAAATAACCTGCAATTTCTTATGGTGACCTTTTGAAGGAAATTCCGGAGCCTTTTCCCCTTCCTGATGAAGTTTTAGTAGTAAAAGCCGCTGCCGGTTGGGCACATTGTGTTGCAGTTACAGGTATCCACAGCAACTTTCATGTTAATGATGCCACTAATTTTTTGCAGCTGGAAGCTTGTGTATTTTTGTGACTTTGGGATAATATTCCAATGTGAGAATATATCTACTTCAACATCCATTCTGTTGTCCTCCTTCACTAGATTTGGGTAGTCATAATTTTGCAAAGTTGACAACGATATAAGGATTGAATATGTTAAGTGTCCCACATTTGTTGAGGGATGATAGTTTCTCTCTTTATATGGTCTTGGGTCAATTCACACCTTTTGAGCAAGCTTTTGTGGTTAGGCCCAAGGTCTATTCCTTATCAAGGTATCAGAGGCCAACCTATCCTCGTTATCGTGTGTCCCAATGTTGGGACCCCATGCTATGTTATCCATGCTCCACTTGGCGGGGGAGTGTTACAGTTGTCCACATTGGTTGACAGACGGGCTGTTTGTCTCCTCATATGATCACGAGCAATGCTCACATCTTGACTAGTTTTTGGGGTTGAGTTATGTTCAGAGTCCATTTTCTAGAGAGCTTTGGCCTCCAGTGTTTATATATTCCTTCTTAAACCATAGTGAGCTATGGCCTTCTCTTTTTGTTTGTTTTCTTAATCCCCTTGTCATAATGTGTTTATGGAACCCTAGAATGATATACTACTCAACCTTAAATGTAGGAAATGGAGAAGTGTATACATGGGGTTGGAAGGAATGTATTCCTTCTGGAAAGGTTCTTGGAGAGCCAGCTGTAGACAAGGAGGTAAACGATGGACAGAGTTCATTCCTGGCACAGCAAGGTATTTTCGGATTGGCTTCACTGTCAGAAAGAAGCACAATCTGCTATTTACATTTTACAGTGTAATATTTTGAAGATTAACTTTATCACAGTAAGCCCTCACCCCCAGGGATCGAGGTCCATGTTTGGAGCAGTGTCTCATATAGAGACTAGAAGTGGAGAGGATAGTGCGAAACGTAGACGGGTATCATCAGCTAAGCAACAAGCTGAGAGCTCAACCTCAGGGGATGAAGGTCTCTCAGCATTGCCATGTTTAGTCGCATTAAATCCAGGGGTGCGGATTGTCAGTGTAGCAGCTGGTGGCCGGCATACACTGGCATTGTCAGGTAATTTTATAGATTTTGGATAAACTTGCTTCAACACATCATACAGTTGTCCTTAGCTTCCTGGAGCATAATATGTGTACGTTTGTAGTTACATTGTTAAAGAAACCAAAGAAGGATGACATTTTCTTTTTTCATTTAGATATAGGACAAGTGTGGGGTTGGGGCTATGGAGGGGAAGGACAGCTTGGTCTAGGCTCCAGGATTCGAATGGTATCCTCTCCACATCCTGTGCCGTGCATTGATTCTTCTCCTTCGCGAAAGGACAGAGCTATGGGCCTTTCTCATGGATGTCCAGGATCAGAGGGACAAGGCCTCAGAGTTCCTGGGAATTACGTCAAGAGAATTGCCTGCGGGGGCCGACACAGTGCAGTAATTACAGGTTCACATTCTAGTTCTTGTGTAGATATCTGGGATAGTCATTAGTTGGTTATACCTACATTTCAGTACTTGCTTATCAGCATGAACTTTAGTTATCAATTCGTACCTATATTTCATATGAATGCTGTTCTCGTACTTTCTATGTGTTTTCTATTGGTACATTATTGTATATGGTTTCCCTCTTGCAGTCCTATAATACTTCGATAATTTTTCTTATTACTTATTGCTGCTGATTTTCAAGGCAGATGCTGGAGCGTTATTAACTTTTGGTTGGGGATTGTATGGACAGGTGAGTTTCCTGTGATCAGTCTATTCCGTAGTGAATTTAAGCACGGGAGTTATTTCAAATAAGCTATATTCTTGGTGAAATACTAAACTTCTTTATGTGTTTGCCTGTGTGTGTATACATGCACCGTATATGTGAAAAGTAAAGTAATATATGCCTCATGACACTATTTTCTATTAACCCAAGCGCACTGGATGTGAAAAGATTTACTATGTTGTAGCACGAGGATCTTTTGAACACTAGGTACTTGACCATAACAAAACTTACGAAGTGGAATTCCACTTCTTCCATAAGAAAAAAATATTTCTTAACAAGAGAAAGAAGGAATATTTACTCTCTGAGCTCCTTATGCCAATGCGTAAAGTTCATTTCAGGTTTGAGAATTTGCCTAGTGGTGCTATGAACTTGGAAAGGCATAGCAAATTAACGGTAATCGTATTATAAGATTCTTTTATTTATTAAATAGCATATTAAGTGCCGATGCTGCATTTGCAGTGTGGTCAAGGGAGTACAGATGATGAGCTAAGTCCGACGTGTGTATCTTCATTACTTGGCATCAGGATAGAAAGTGTAGCAGCAGGGCTCTGGCACACTGTATGCATTTCTGCAGATGGTGATGTATATGCATTTGGAGGGAACCAATTTGGGCAGTTAGGCACTGGCGCCGAGCAGGCTGAGGTACATTTTTGAGTTTGGTTCTTTTGCTTCTACCCAGACAATAGGTCTGTTGGTACTGTTACAACTACTAATATAAGAGGCTTTCGAAATCTGGGTAACATGTCATACAGTGAAATGTGGTTTGCTTATACTGGCAAAGTTTATTGATCAGTAGGTTTCCTGTGTTATGGACTATACCAAGAGATGCAGATCTTTTCCGATCTAGTACTAAACTTTTACTTTTATCTATGTCAGACACTACCTCGGCTCCTGGATGCTCCAAATTTGGAGAACATGCATGTGAAAGTTGTATCATGTGGAGCACGACATACTGCCGTAGTCACAGGTATGACTCGTATCTGCATCTTGAAAACTTTCTCCTGCTATAGATCCATGAGAAGCTGCAGTGAATAGATGGGGGGATGTCATGGCTAATTAGATGAAAATCAAGGTGACAAATGAGCTTGTTCGTATAGAGTCAAAGAAACTTCAATATTGAAGAGTACTAGGAAATGTACACAGCCTGATAATTATTCGAGTGAATATGATAACGCGAAAATGGTTTTTGCTGCTGAATTATTTCCATTAGTGAGTTGGTTTCAGAGGTTAATCCACCCAATACCAATTTCTATATAGCAGGATTTTTTGATTGTTGTTATGTAACTCTTCAGAGAGAGCCTATTCATTGATCAATAGAGTAAACTTGATGGGCGTCAACCCATGACACCATAAGTTCTTGAAGTAAGTCAATTAAGGACTTGTAAACACTTATAATTGCACAACCTTGAACTGCTACAAGGTCCTCAGCTTGATTGGCTGAACGCTCTCAATACCCTTCTTCTTTTTTTTCAGAATTCGTTTTCTTTATTATGGTCTATAACTAGGGGTTAAGGACTAAATGAAAGATGGATAACCTTTTGGAGAACATGAATATTTCTTTTTGGTATCATGGTTGGCTTTCTTCTTTTTATCATGATTTGATCTGTATCTACCATAAATATATAGCTGAGGTATCCGAGGGGAAGAGTGAATTCTCATATGGGAAACTCAGTTAAGCAATTTCTCCTACAGTAAACATATGATTGTAGAGGTGTTAGAAACTGTCCTTTCTTGAGCTAGACATAGTAGATTAGGAATAAAAGCTTATATGCCTGTTGAAGTGATCTGTTAAAAAAAAACTGCTCGAAAAAGTGGAAAGAAAATGGAAGCAGTTAGTATTTTGCAGGTCATAATAGCTTACTGTACCATTCTGATAAGTTGTTCAGCTTACTGCACAATCTTCTGGATAAATAGCGACTAATAGTTTATTCATTCTCTAGAGTATTTTTTTTTCTTAAAGCTCATCTAACTTTTCTGCTGTTTTGTTTTATGAAGATGATAGCAAAGTGTTCTGCTGGGGATGGAACAAGTATGGTCAGGTACAAGCTTTATTCAGCATATTTTCTCCTTTGAGTCATAGGTTTCAGTGATTGCCTCAAGAATGCAGCTTGCTTTATATGTTATCTTACAGACTTTGTATGGCAATGTGCTAGTTTGCTAAGTTCAATTATTTGGCATTCTGCAAGTGTGATGATCTATTGAACAAATGGCTTCATCTTTCTGCAGCTTGGACTGGGTGATGTGATTGATCGGAATATTCCATCCCAAGTCTCAATCGATGGTCATGTACCGACAAATGTCGCTTGTGGGTGGTGGCACACACTTCTACTAGCTGAATCACCTACGTGAACTACTCATCTTATTGATGCCATTCAAAGTTTTGTTAGGTTAGGTGCTTTCGGTTTTCTACTTCAAGATCCTCGTTATGATATATGCATATGGTACATATTGTAGTTTGCATGCATATACATGTTAGCATGGAGTGATTCTTTACAAGAATAAGGTGGTCATCATCTTCCTTCCAAGCAACAACTTGGGAAGAACAAGAAGTCGTCGCTATCATGTCAAGACAACTTAGTCTATCTGTGTAAATCCTCTTCGCGACTGGATTTTCTGATGTATCAAAGATACTCTATAGCATTAGAGCAGTCATTATGATGGCTTTTGTGGTACCTTTTCAGTCGGGTTCCTTCAATGTGTACTTCATATTGTGTTCTGAGGGATGATTGAAATGTGATCTCTTTATTACTATGCAGAGCTGGGTTCAGATCTCTGCTAAGACTTTACCATATCAATTCTTGTGTTTCCTTTTTCCTTCCCTATTGTCATAGAATGTCTCTGGTATAGAGTTTTGTTCATTGAATGTGGTGCTTTGCTAATTTGGTGGACAAGCTTCAGTTTTCTTCTTCTTTTTTCTTATGTTGGCAGTTCGAAAAAATAATTAGTATATGCAAAGTAATTGGGAAATAGTCACTATTTAATGAGGAGATAGAATCTGGATTAGAATATACTTAGTGGACACACGAAAAGATTCCGCATAATATATTGGATTATGGAACTTTTGTGTATAGAACTTCCAAAATATTAAGTTGAAATTTCATATGAAGAAAATTCAAACTTCAGCATAGTATGGTGAATATTTTCTGAATTTTAATTAACTGCATTCTTATTCATATTTTATTTTACATGAAAAAGTAGCTAAATTTTAATTAATCTTAAAATTATGGCTAATTTTTAATTGGTAGCTTTGAACTAGGCTAATTTTGAATTTTATCGTAAAAATTGTACGGGGCGCTCTATTTGGTCGCCTATTTAATGTGTACCATCTTTTTAATTTTTTTAAAACTAGTACATGAAGTTTAAGCAACTTTAGGCCTTCTTCTTCTTCTTCGGGGTGTTTGTGAACATATTTTAAGGCTCTTTATGATGTTTTACGGTGGTGAGCTGCTGTTTTTTCTATTGCTTAGGGTTTCTTCTTCTCCTTCTTTTTCTTAATTGCAAAATGGGTTCGTTAGCTTTATTGTTGTTTTGACAAATTGATGATTGGAGTTTGTTCTTGATGATATTTGGAGCTTATGTTTCAAATTTGAGCTCATTTGGAGAAGATTTAGATGTTAAATCGTATATTGCATTGTTAAAATTCAAAAAATAAATTTCTGTTTCTGGGCAATTTGCACTTTAGGCCTATTTGGTCTTAAATGCATGAAAACGTTGGTTGTACTTCAGATCTATTTGGCCTTAAGTGCATCTGAAGTGCAATTTTTTTCACTTTAGGTTTATTGGCTTTAAGTGCATGAAATCACATGTTGCACTTCAGACCTATTTGGCCTTAAATGCATCAGAAGTGTAATTTTTTCACTTCAGACCTCTCAGACATTAAGTGCATGAAAATATAAATATTTATTGCACTTCAAACCTATATGGCCTTAAGTGCATCTTAAGTGCAATTTTTGCACTTTAGACTTAATTGGCCTTAAGTGCATTGCACTTTAGACTAATTTTTTTTAACTTCAGATCCGATAAGTCTGAAGTTGATTGTAAAATGGGTAGGTTTGCAATTTTTTTTTGCAAAGTGAGTATAGCTTCAATTGTGATCCCAAAGTCGGGTATAAATGCAAAAGCCCCAATTTCATCCTGAAATATGCCAGGCATAGATGGATGCCCCTTTTTCCTATGATTTGCATCAGGTAGCCGATCTTAACGGTGCTATTTAAGACCTATCCGATTTTCCTAAAAGCATTTATGCTATAACCAATGATGGCACATACATGTGCGTGAAGTTTAGCTGGACTTGCGCTTAAAGAGGGCAAAGTGTCATGACCTGAGAAATGCAAATAAGGGGAAATATAGCTAAGGGAGCTCGAAGCTGAGAGGGGAAGTACATGAATAACTAACACTGAATCGACGGTCGTGACTGGATTTTAGTTAATGAGCTTCAAGGGCTCATATACTGCCAGCTGGACGAGTTTGTTATAAAGCTCAACAAACTAGTTGAACAGGGCGTGAATTGAACCAACATGAATTTTTCGAGTTCTCTATCTTCTTCTCACTTCTCATCTCATTTTCTTCCTTTCTCTTCTATTTCTTCTCTTACATATCTGTAACTCAGCTATGGGATTCTGATTAGCTCAGTTTCATTAGTTCTTTTTTCATTTCGCTTAGTAGTTTGTAATTGTAGTTGTTTCAATTTCAATATAAACAGAAAATTATCCTAAATATTAATTGATTTTCTTAATTAATTGATTGAGATCCTGACATTTGGTATAAGAGCCCTCGAACCTGCAACCTGTGGATTAAACGATAGTGGATGGTACGAGGATGCAAACTATGAATGCCAAGATTACTCAACACGAAGAGGTGCTAGCTGGGTTAACTGATGGGCAACAGAATTTACAGTAGACACACATGGTCATTCAAGGAACCTTGTAATTGATATTGGACAGACTAACTGCTTTGGAGAAGCCACCAGCAAATCCAAATGGAAGAGAGTTGTTTCCTCTTCCCGTGCAGGAGGCTAGGCCAAATACACAAGCTGGATTTCCAATCCCACCTCCTAAGTGAGAATTACCTAGTTTTGAAGGTAAGGAACCAAAGGTATGGCTTCGAAAATGCGAACGGTATTTTAATTTGTATAAGACTGTTGAGAATTATAAGGTTGAAGCTGCTACTATTTATTTGAATGGATTAGCCGAAATGTGGTTTAACTCCTTAACTGTGAGTAGAGGGGTTGTGACTGGGGGAGAGGGGGGGGAATTTAAGGAGGAATTATGTCTTAAGTTTGGTGAGAATTTGATGGAGGATGTTGTAGAAGAGTTTAATAAACTCCAACATAAGGGGTCAGTTGAGAAGTTTTTGGAAAAGTTTGAGGAACTCAAGGCTCATATGCTCATCAAGAATACTGCTTTGAATGAGTCCCACTTCATGTCTAGTTTTGTGGATGCTCTCAAGCAGAAAATCATATATGTTGTCAAATTGTTTAAACCGACAACCTTAAATGGTGTTATAGAACATGCAAGGATGCAATAGAAGGCTCTTGAGGCTGTAAGTAAAAAGGAAAAAATCACAGGGGAATCTTACACTAATATTGGAGTTGCCTCAACTCACAAGGTTTCCACCATGCCAGCTAATAGAACATGCACTTATAGATTGAGCCCTGAGGTTTATGAATATAGAAAGACTAATCATCTATGCTTCAAATGTGGAGAAAAGCATGTACTTGGGCATCAGTGCATAAACAAGCAACTAAACTATTTGTTTGGGGAGAATGAAAATAGTCCTAAGGCTATAGTAAATCAACCTTAGACTCAAACAGGGGATCCTAATTTAACTGAAATCATAATTGAAGGAGAGGTTCAGCAAGAAGTGCTGGAAGCCATTTGTCTTAGTGCTTTGGCAGGAAATAATTCAGGAGTGAACTCGATCTTGGTCAGGGGCATTAGCAAAAACAGGAGCCTAACAGTGTTAGTTGACTCTGGAAGCACTCATAGTTTTATTGATGAGCAAGCAGTGAAGGACACTTGACATGTACCCATTTACAGTCCACCAATGAGAGTGACTGTTGCTGATGAAAATTATATCATATGCAATGCTAGCTGTGTAGGATTTAGCCGGAAGATGCAAGGTAAATAGTTCTAAGAAGATTTGAGAATTATCCAAGGGTGGGTGTGATATAGTGTTAGGGAATGATTGGATGAAAACATATAATCCCACCAAATTCGATCATGAAAAGAAATGTGTTACAATTGGGAGAAAGGGAAACAAGACTGTACTACATGCCATACCTGAAGCAGGTAGTTTGAGCTTGATTAGTGGGAGTTCTATGGGGATACTGCTGAGGAAAGGGCAGACACTAATGGCTCATTTGTTCATGGTAAGTGTGAACCAATTGCCAGAACTAGAAGACATGGCTGATCCAATACAGGAGGTACTTGACAAGTACAAGGAAGATTTTGCAGAACCAAAGGCATTGCCTCCTGTCAGATCCTTAGATCACTAGATTCTATTAAAACCTGGTGCTACACGAGTGAGCCTGAGGCCATACAGGTATAATTACTATCAAAAGAAAGAACTAGAGAAACATGTAGCAGAAATGCTGCCAAGTGGAACCATTCGGCCAAGCCAATCTCCTTTTTCTTCTCCAGCTTTATTGGTAAAGAAAAAGATGGGGCATGGAGGTTTTGTGTAGATTACAGTAGGTTAAATGACATTACTATCAAAGACAAGTACCCAATACCCATTGTGGATGATCTTTCAGATGAGTTGCATGGTTCAATAATCTTTTTCAAGGCGGATCTCAGAGCAGGGTACCATCAAATCAGAATGTAGGCAGAAAATGTGTACAAAACTGCATGCAGAACTCACTTGGGGCATTATGAATTTAGAGTAATGCCATTTGGGATTACAAATGCCCATGCTACATTCCAGGCATTGATGAATCAGGTCTTCCTACCTTTTCTAATAAAGTTTGTGTTAGTTTTCTTCGATGATATCTTGGTTTATAGTCAGTCTTTAGCGGATCATATAGACCATCTAGCTATTATATTTGAGACATTGAAGAAGAATACTCTTTATGCAAAAAGGTCTAAGTGTTCATTTGGGCAACCTCAAGTTGAATACCTGGGACATGTCATTAATGCTCATGGTGTGACTATTGATCGTAGCAAGGTGCAGGCCATGGTGAATTTGCCTAAGCCTACCTCAATCAAGGTACTTTGAGGGTTTTTAGGCTGAATGCTATTACAGGAAGTATATGGCCAATCATGGTGCCATTTGCAGACCTTTGATGGATCTCTTGAAGAAGAAAGGTTTCAGATGGAGTGAAGAAGCTGATCAAGCTTTTGCAGCTCTTAAAAGAGCCATGCCCACTACCTCAATGTTAACTCTACCTGACTACACTCAACCTTTTTGTGGTTGAGACAGATGGATGTCATTCAGGCATTGGGGCAGTACTGATGCAAAATGGGAGACCGTTAGCTTATTTTAGCAAGGTACTAGCTCTAAGGCACATGGACAAGTCCATTTATGAGAATGAGTACATTGCTATATTCAATGCCATAGATAAATGGAGGCACTACTTTCAGTATAGGCACTTTGTGGTGAGAACTGATCACCATAGCCTGAAGTACTTGCTAAACAGAAGGTTAACTCAGCTATGCAACAAAAAAGGGTTGACTAAGCTCCTAGGCATAAACTATGAAGTCCAATACAAAAAAAGGGTTGAGAATAGAGTAGCTGATGCACTCTCAAGACAGTTTGAATCATTGCCTACTGAAGCTCATCATCAAGCAACACGTCTTGCCATCAACATGAATGTGC